GACCGAGCGGCGGTGGCGACGGCCAGCGAAGTGTGGTCATGGGAGCACTGCTGGGCGACGTTCGAGAAGCACTTGGTCCCGTCGGGTTGCTGAGTGCAGCGACAAACGCGATGTTATAATGCAAGTGCGTCTTTGCACCGGTAACGTTACTCGGAGTGTTGTGTTGTTGGTCGCGCGAAGATTGCAACACTTTCGCGCCTCGAAACGGCCCATCTCTTTGAATATGTATGCAATACAAACATCAAGAGAAGCATATCCGTTTGAAACAGCCAATCACATTGCGTGACGACCGTATTCACACTATTTGGTCCAGTTTGCAATGACGTCCACAGTGGTTGCCGAGCGCATCAGTGCCCGCCTGAGCATCAACGAGGCCCAAGCTCCTTCGACCACGTCGCCGCTTGCTCTGGGTGGCGCTGGGAGAAATCCTTCTCCTTGCCACTGCTCGGATGCTGAAGGCCAACGCTGCGATGCATGCAAGGACGTGAAGCGCGAGCCGAGGATACCGGCATCAGCGCACGTCGCGATCGGCTCTCACGACCGCCCAGAGCCCGACCTACAGCACAACTTTGTTCCCGCCTCGTACTTTACTCTCTCGCCGCGCGAACGCCCGAGCTTCGAGGGCTTGGAGTTTGTACCGGCGTCATTGGTCGAGCCACGACCTTACGACCACCACGCTGCGTCGTACTGTGCATGCTGCGCCTTGGACGAGCATCAGATCTTACTGCCTGCCTCGGCGTGCGGCCCAGAACCGTACCCGAGTGCACATGCGGCGAGCTTCGACTGGTCGACCTTTGTACCGGTAGTGCCCTACTCGCCACGCGGCGTCTCGTCCGCACTCTAGAGCCTAGCGAGCCTTGCTTTCGGTGTATATTTAAAATACTAGTACGCGCCGCCCGGCGAATACTGCGCAACGTCCTGGAGGCAAGAGGCTGCGATGCTATCAAAGAGCCACTAGACAGGGTGCATGTGAGTACATACGAGGACGAGAAGAAGGGTACTTTGGGCGTCACGCACGCCACGTTGGCCTGCATCGCCCGTCGATTGGGCTCGTGGCAGATGCAGTACTGCGCTTGCGAGACGTTGTTGCAGACCTAAGAAAGAGGTATCCTCAATACCGAGGACAGAGTCGCATACGCCACCTTGCCACCGGCGGCCGTGATGAGGCTATGCAGCGTCTCCTTGGGCGGTTCCATGCGACCGGCGGCAGTTGCAATGCTAAAGAGGATGTCGTCGAGGATCCCGGCGTGCGTTTTCGTCGCCTCTGCGCGCTGGTTGTACGGCTCGAGGAGGTAGTCGCCCTCGGGCAGCCACATGCCAGCTTCGAGCGACGCAAACACCCACGCGTCCGAGACGATGTAGGCGCCGCGGGCAATGCCAAAGAGCACCTTCATCGTGCGCTTGGACGCGTCGGTTGCAATGACGTGCGTCATCGCCACGTTGGCGTCGACGATGCGGGTCGTGAGCTGGTTGGGGCACTTGGCGTCAATGGCCGCGATCGTCGAGACGAGCATCTGCCGCGATGCTTCGTCCGCGCCGCTGATGGCGACGAAAAACCGCTTCGGACGGGTCTACGGAATTGAGGTAGGTGTCCTCTACTATCGTCCGTACCTCGGTCTTTTCTTGCGATGCCTTGATCGTCTTCTTGGTCGTGGTCTTGGCCGCGGTAGGCTTGGTCTTTGCAGCGGTAGGCTTGGCCTTGGCGGTTGCAGGCTTGACTGTTTTGGCGGTCTTGCCTTTGCCAGCGGCTGTCGTAGATGCCGCTGGGGCCGGAGTGAGCTTGGTTTTGGCCTTTGCCTCTGGTTCGGTCGCCGACACCTTGGCTTTTCCTTTGGTGGTCGTCGGTGCAGGAGTCTTGGCCTTTGTCTTGGTTTGGCTTGGCTGCGACGAAGACGTCGCGTCGGCGGTGGAGGATTTGGTTGTCGTCTTCTTCGTCGCGGGCTTCTTGGAGACAGTTGGTGCCGCCTTGGGCACCATCTTGGTTGAGTTCTTGCTCGCAGCTGTGGTCTTGCTGGCGGCGGCGGTCTTGCTGGCGGTTATCTTTACCGCGGCCGGCGTCGTCGAGCGAGTGATCGTGGTCGAGCTTCTCGTTTTGGTCTTGAGTGTGACCTTGGAGAGGGACTCCTTGAGCTCGCTAAGCGGCGTCGCGGAGCTTGAGGGCTTTGTCGCTGTGGCGGCGACTGCCTCGTGCTTTGCGCCGCAGATCCCGCAGTGCGGCGCGTTCGTCGGGTTCTCAAACGTGCACTTGGAGCACGCCCACACGTTGACCTTCGCAGCTCAATATCAGAAAATGTCGACTGCGTAAACGACGGTACCTTGGGCTGCACGCGAGCCCGCTTCAGCGGCGGCTCGTCGACCACTTCTTCCGTCACGGTGCCCATGAGGTCGTCGTCTACGATGGACCGTCGTTCGGAGGTGGCAATCATAGAGAATAAAACGCACCGTCCGAGAGCGGGTCATCCCGACTGAGCTGGAGCTGCTTGCGCTTCTGCGTGCTCTGCGGTTGGAGCATATAGGACGGCGTCACGACCTCGAGGCTCTACGCTCCATATGTGTCATGGCGATCCCACCGCCATGCATCTCACCTCTCGCTTCTTCTTTCGCGGTGTCATCGTAGACTCGTCAAAGACATCTTCGGCGCGCGGCTCCATCATGCTGCTGCGGCGCCGATTCTTGGCCTTGAGCGCGCCGGCCGACGGCGGCTCGGCCGGAAAGAACTTGGCTTCGGGAACGCGCGAGGCGGTCTTGGCGCACGCTTCGACCCAGAGCGGTCCGACGAGGATCACGTCCGTGCGCTTGAGCGTGGCGTCCCGCACCGCGCGTTTGCCGTTGAGCCACACGACGTGCGTCGTCTCCTTCCCGAGCCGCTTGACGACGCGCGCGCCGAGGTCCGTGAGCTTGCGCCCGACCTCGCCGGAGCAGTCGACGTCCGTATCGCCCGTGATCATGTGAACGTCTACCAGGCAGCGCAGGCCCTTGAGGATCGCGGACGACGCTCCAGGCATTTCGAAATGGCCTCCGCGAAGGAGCTATCCGGATAATAATGTGCCCGCGCGGCAAACCAGAAAAACCCGGGAAGCTGGGACTTTGGGTTTTTCCCAAAAGCCCAGTCGCGCATTGGGACAAACCCCACCCACGTGGCGGGAAACTCCGCACTAGCTCCGGAAAGTGCGAGCTTCCGCGTTCTTCCTGCTCGCTGCTAGCTTGAGCTGAAGGTAACCAGCCTACGCGGCGTCACATGGTCAAACAACTCCAAACCTTGCTACAGTTGTTGCTCGCCTGTACCAAAAGTTGGTGCTGGCCGAGATCGCGGCTCACACGAGGGGTAGCGTGTGAGGAGCCCAAGCTTATGTTGATGTGGTCGCACCGATGCCGAGTCCACAAAAGCCTCGTGCGCCTTGACAAAAGTAAGTTTTGCTGTCGTCCGAACCAAGGTGCGCTTGCTACTAGTAGACGAGGCAGACCACGAGCAGCAACTTGGGCGAAAGCCGGTCGTGTGCGTGTTGCCAGCGTTCACCCTTTGAGTCGACCACACCACTTGGGTAGCTCGTCCGTTGCATGGCGACGATCTGCGACAGCCATCGAATGTGAATCTCGGCAACGCGCTCTGAGACGGGTTCTGGTATCGTCTTTGCGTCAGTGGCGGTCCGTGGTGTGTCGGCTCGACACACCACGCTGCACCCGACAGTGTCGGTGCAGCGTTTGTACCTGGCCGAATGTGGCTTGGTCGCAGAAAAGAGAGCGCGCGGGACTACTCGACACAGTACTCGGCACGTGCTGGGATCCAATCCAAACCTCTTCAAGAGTGAAAGCAACAGCAATCTAGGTGCAGTCGCGAGCGCGGACGAAGACTTCGGTAGGAGCTGCAGGTGACACCAGTGGTGCTACAGTATTGGCGCAAGATGTGGAGTTGCCGTCCTAGTAACATGACGTCGATTATGGCCGTCGATTAGGGGAGTGGGGGTGGAAAGGTAATCACGCAAGCGGGTTCGACGACACTTCCGAGCTCTGTCGCAGGTACACCCGAGCGCCAAGCCTCCACGCCTCGTTCAGCAATGGAGTGGTGGGGCTTTACACCGGTACAAGGAGACCGCATCGGAGTTGTCCATGGTTTTTCACGGAACAAGTGGGCCTTAGCGATCTAGCACAAGATTCGGTGCAACTGTAGCTGCAACCGGTGTCTGTCTATGTGCAGCGTACGGTTCTGGGATGTCGAAGTCCGAAGCTAAAAAGGGCGCGTGGCCCCGTGTTCACGCATCCCAATCGTAGTTGGTGATCACGGCTTCGAGGCAGGACTGACGCAAACTCGTACGACACGAACAACTACTAGTACCGCAATGTCGTTGGCCACCAACTCGGCTCTAGATCCGAGGCGCCACTAGTTCCATGATGAGGCCACGGCTGGACTGGACACGAGAGCGAAGCGAACACATACATGCCCATCCAGTCGTCGTTTGGTCCAAGCTTGGGACCTCGGATTCACCATGTGACGGGAGGTTAGTCAAGGTCGGAAGAGTAGATGCGACTGGGTGCGGAAATAATTCGACTCTATGCTTTGAAACATACATACATAGGGGTTTTACCATCGAGCGCCCACCCAAGAAGACACCATGATTCTGATGCGCGCCTTCTTCGCGCGACCGCAGCGCTTCAAACTACTACTGTGTGTGCCACGGTCGACGACACCGCCTCTTCGAAAAACCTCTGATCAGCAACCTTGTCGCTCGATTTCGCGGCGCTTGGGCAGCACGAGTCGGTGCATTTTGGTTGTTTCATTGTGCACGGTATACTGCAGGAATACCCGTCTTTGAAACGAAACATCCAGGGTGAAGCCTTCGTATCCAATCCACTTCGTCCACCTGGTTTTAGTCAACGATCGACTAACCGGCCGTTTGGTCACCGCTTTACCACCAGAGTGTGATGGGCAACCAGCAAAACGAAACAAGATGACTGTACTCGGTCAAAAATGGTGTTCATCTCGGCTCGGACGCGTTAATTCTTCTCATTCGGGCCATGCACGAGTCCTCAAAAGCCGCACAGATCATACTTGCGCTGTCACCGATGGTTTGCGCGATGTTTGCCGAGCCTGTATCCAAGCGCCCTTTCTATTTACCTTCGTCCTGAGGCACGACCGCCTATCGAAGCTTCACCGAAGATTGCTACAGGGTGTTGTTGTCCCAGTGGCCGTCATCCATACAAAGCGCCCGTGCATAAATATTTATTCCTAACCGCACACACTCTGGGGGTTAGCAAAGGCAGCGAGAGCGTTGGTAGTCGCCATGCATCTCACGCCAGCTGGTGGCCATGCGCCATGTCTGGTGGGGCGCCGATACAACTTCAACAAGTGCACTTGCGCCGATGGCTGGTGTCAGTTTCCAATTTGCACCGCCGACCGCACTCCATGTTTGCCACTCCCCATACACTGCCTGACGACGGTCATTTGTCGCACGACGACGAGACCGCATCGAGCTCCGGCGTCAGCAGCGCCGCCAGCCCCGAGCGGAAAGCCCGCCGCCGCCGCCGCGTGCTCACCAAGGAGCAGCTCGAGCTCAACCGGGCGCGGTCCCGCAAATACTATGCCCGGAACCGCGACGTTGTCCTTGCCAAGCTCCGCGCACAGTACGTCGAGAACCGCGAGAAGGAGCGCGATCGCCAGCGGGACAAGTACCTTCGCAACAAGGCACGGAAGCTCGAGATGAAGAAGCTTGCCGAGTCGGCCTCGAGCCAGCTGAGCCTTGCCTACATTCTCAACTAATTCGCCCCTATCTATTATTTAATACGACAAATCCTCCCAACCACGTCAACACTACCACCATTGGCTTGCGACTTCATCGCCACGAGTCTTCATCTCTACTAAAGTACGACTGAGAACTATGATGACAAGACGACCGCGGCCGTAAGCACGACCGACTCGAGTTTGCGCTACGACCTTGGAACGACAGACAGCCCATGTGTATGCACTCCCCAGCTGGTGCGCGGAGATCATGGACTCTGATTCGAGATGGCGTCGTCCTGTTGTGTGCGATTACGAAAGAAACTGGCGGCCATGTCTTTGCGTCGACGACCACAGTGCTCGTCCCGGTCCAGCGCCCAGTGCGAGCGGCGACGGCTCGTTATCGACAGTCTATAAAGTGTAGTAGAGCGAGAGATTAGCGAACTCTACTAAGGGTGCACAAGAACTCTTGGCTCTACTATGATTGAATACCGTTTGTAGTCGTCGTTCGGACCCGTTGGTCGCGTGTGCTGGGTGGAACGCGCCTTCGATTACGAGATCAGATCGAGTGTGTGGCCCTCGCTGCAACAATTGTACGTCCCACAAAATCCCAACACCATAAACGCCTTGTGCCGCACGCGAGAGGTGGACGTGTGTATTGCACTACACAGAGCGCCTCGAGATCACTCGGCGTCGCCTCGTAGCGACGCCTCTCTGCACCCTACTAGCTGAGTGGCGTCTGGTCGCTTCGAAGTTGAGCACGAGCGCACTGCAGCATCCGGCACACATATCCACGATAACGTTCGCTGGGAAAAGCTCGAAGCTCAGCGTTCGTGTTGATGCGTCTGCTACGGCAGGATCGTTGGGCTACCAAGTACTATGTAGGTGCTGATGGTTGATGCAAGGATGCGCTGCCAGAATACACAATCTCCGGCCAAGATCAGTTTGGGCATGGGCAGTTCTGGCCGCATAGAGCCTCTCCACGCGTCGGGCCAAGAGCTCGTTTCTGAGTCGCTTGTGACGACCGAACGTAACGCCTTCCCGCCAAAACCACATTAGCCCCACCATCACCGCTATCGATTGACTGCTCGAAGGCCGTAGAGGTGGCGACGAAGAAGAAGAAGGCGCCGTGCCAAAATGCGCGACTTCAACATGGCGCTTCAACGAGCGCCAAGAGAAGGAAGCGAGTGAACACAGTCGAAGGTTGGGAGAAGTGCAATCTAGCAGCCGTCGGTGTGATCAACGAAAACGATTGATTTCTACCGCAAGCAACATGTAGCTGGCTTGCTTTCATAGGACCCATGGGATAGGGTGGTTGGCGCCACAGGTCGCCGCTCCAGGGGGGCTCAAGCGGCCACCGATCTGCAACAATGCCATCTACCGGATCCTTGCGTCGTGCGAGATGCTCTCCCATTTTGATTAGCGCTGCTACTTCAAGAACCTACCTCCGAACGCATTGCACAGTCCTCCGTCAGGTCGGCGGTCGTTCCTGATTCCTGTCCGACCCATGTTGGCAGCAGTTTGAATCCCTCCAGTGCCGGTAGTATACTCATATCAACCTACTAGTAGACAATATTGTGTGTTCTCTTGAACGTATACATCATCAGCCACTTACCCTACCCACAATATGCACCATCGTCTGCCGCTCGCGTCACGACGCTCACGCATCAGACTGCGTCGCTTTGGACGCGCATCCTGATCTGCGAGGAAGACCGCATGCCCCAGCGCTGTGTCGCTGGCGCTGAAGCTCATCATCGATCTCGAACCGCGCCACATCCTATCCGGCACGATGGAGGCATCCGGTTAATCGTCCAGCATTACCGGCCCAGAACTTTGCCGACAGCACCTTCTCCCAAGCGCCCGCCTGCCCCTGCCCGATGACATCCAAGCTCAACCCGAACGCTGGCGCCTGGGTGCCAAGGTGCGCGCTGCCATGCGTCCTTACCTCACGCGCGTCAGTAGCTTCGTATCGTCCGTCGACGCTAGCCCGCCATCCGCGACCGCACAGTCCCCGGCCAAGCCCAAGAAGGCCACGACGCCTAGCCATGCGGCCAAGGCCAGCCCCCCGCGCGCGCTGCCGGCGCCAATTGCAACAGCAGTGCGTTGTCACAACCGTATCTCGCTCCTCTCACACTCTTGTCTAGCCTGCTGTGGCGAGCGCGACAGCGGCGGCGCCGGGCCGAATAAGCGTACGCACCACGACGGCGTCTTCACAGCCAGCAACATCGTGCTATGGTTGTAGATTGGCTCCAAAGTCAAGGGTCGTCTGCATTACACGATCGCCGAGCTCTTGCAGGTGCGATTTCGCAATCTCTCGAAGATGTCAGCCCAAGGCTACTCTAGTTTCGGACGCTGTGCACGGCGCTCCCGCCAGACCTCGAGCTTGGCCCGATCCTCTCTGGTGGCGCGCCTAAGCCGACCAAAGCGTCCAAGAAGGAAAAGGGCGCGGCGAGGGCGCCCATGCTGCACTACGACCCGTCCGCGCTCTCGTTCTTCAAGGTCGTACCCCAATGGACGTGACGAAGAATGCTGATGAGCAGACTGTAGGATGGCGCGGCGGGTGCGACCAAGCAGCCCGTCAAGCCCACTGACAACCCCGAGAAGGAGACCAAGGACGCGCTCTCGGCCATTGAAGCGTACATTCGTTCTACCCCAACACACAGCAGCGGTGTAACCAGCACGAACTAGCATTTTGGCGTCGCCGGCCCACGACGCGTGGCTCGGGCACATCCAGTCGGTCGCCGTCACATGCACGCCGACGCTCCAAGCGGTTGTGGGGCTCTTGTTTGACCGCGCGATTGCAGCGCCCTCGGTCAGGTACCTGGTCTGACTCAAATCTGAACGGGATCAAATGTGGTTGTCTGCGTAGCGAGCCGTACGCTGCGCTCTGCGCATCGCTCTCCGAGTCGCTGCCCGAGTTCAAGGACGGCGCCCGCACCGTCAACTTTCGCCGAGTCCTCCTCACCAAGTGCTACGAGGCCCTCGTCGAAGAGCCCTCGTCGCCGGTGCGTCGTTCCGTCCTCCATCACCGTCATCATCACCCATCTCTTAGCACGCGTGGCGCCGTCAATGCATGCTGGGCAACGTCGTCTTCGTCGGCGAGCTCTTTCGCCGGTACGGGACCCATACGATGCACGACGCTCAGCGCGACCTCATGTAGGCAACTGCTCACGGAGAACGTCATGCACGTGTGCGTGGCCATGATGCTCGACGGCGACGACAGCGACCAAAGCACCGACGTCGTGCCCGAGGCCAAGGTGCTTGACGCTGCGTGCCGGCTCTTGCTGCTCGTGGGCGACCTCCTCGACGGCTCGTCGCCTGCGTCCCGCCGCACGATGGACGAGTACTTTGACGCACTGCAGCGACTGGCTTGTCTCTCGACGCTGCCCTCGGATCTGCGACCGCTTCTCCAAGAGGTAGTACCATTCGAATTCGAGGTCGCACTCATCATCTCGCATCTGCAGACGCTGGACGCACGGTCGGGCGGCTGGGTCCGGAAGCGCGTCGACGGATGACGCACCGCCTATTTAACGTGTGTACGACTAGGTTTTTCGAGTAATAGACGACAGCAGCAGTGTACGATCGGGATGTACAATGTACGAGGTCGTACGGCCTCGTTAAAGTGGCCACCGTTGGCGGGCGAGATTCGCTTCCGTTGGCGCGCGAATCTCGGAGGGAACAGGGCGGCTTCGATTTCGGCGTTCCAAAGTGGACAGCAGCAAGCTACTTGGAAGGCAGCGCTCGAATCCGCGAGCCAGTCGATGCGACAAAAGATCTGCGTTGGCTGCTGGGTCGAAGTCGAATACCTTGGTCAAGGTCCTTGATCTTAGAGCACGGATCGTCGCCTCCTCTCGATGTACTGTACTGCAGCGAGCGACTCGTGCAACAGAGGAGCGATGGCAGCTACCGTGCTTAGCAACGATTGCGGGACGCCGACCACACATTTGCAACTTGAAAAGGCCGCTCTTTTAAATACCCAAAACATGTACGCCTCTTGTCCCTACGCTTCGCTTACGACGATGCAACGGGAATCTGCGACGCCGTCCGCCGGGGCACCGTAAACTCCATTGTCGCCGGCGCCTTCGAGTAGCTCGCCTTCTTCTTGGCCTTCTTGACCGCTTGCTTCTTGGTGTGCGTTGTCTTGGGCGACTTGCCCTTGATCGCATAGAGCCCATCGACTTCGAGCTCGCGGATGCGCTCATAGTCGGCTTGGAGCACACTTGCGTCTTCGTGCACCATGAGGACGCACCCGGGCGTCGTAAACATATCGATCGTCGGCGCCATGAGGACGCCTTCCGTGTGGCGAATCTTCTTGTCCACATAGGACGCCATGGCCTCAATCTCGGCGAGGCCCGGCATCGACTGCAGCGTCCCGTGCTCGTACGAGACGAGCGTCGTCTTGATGCCGTGGGCCCGCAGCGACGTGGGCATCTTGGGCAAGGCTTGGAACGCCGCCTTGTCGAAGTACGCATCCAGCGTCGCGCCCACCTGGTTGTAGCCCTGGCACTTGTCCAAGATCGGCATGTCCGTGCCTTCGCGACCGTGGCAGCGCGCCCCAATCTCAATCAAGCACGGCTCGCCCTTGACAAACTTGACCTCGGCGTGGCCGGGCCCGTGGTTGATCGAGAGCACGTCGAGGACCTTGCACACATAGTCGACAATCGAGACGACCACGTCGCCCTTGGCTTCGCGAAGGAGCGCGCCAAAGTAGACAAACGCCGCGCCGTTGGCCGACCGTTTGTCGTACTCCCAGACGGCCACGACCTTGTGTTCGCCGTCGCGCGAGACGGTATCGATGACGTACTCGGTGCCTTCGAGGTACTCTTGCACGAGCAGCGCTTGGTTTTGGATGCCGAGGTGGTTCACCTTGCCAATGACAGTGTCGTACGCCTTCTGAACGTCCTCGAGCGACGTGCAGAGCGAGACGTCGTCGCTGCCCGCGCTGTCGACGGGCTTGACAATCACACGGAACGGCTCGGGCTTGAGCTCGTTCTCAATGTAGGCCTTGGCATCGGCAAACGTCGGCGCGAGGCACTGCAGCACAGCGCGCATGCCCGCTGCCCGAATCTTCTCGCCCATAATGTACTTGTTGCGGCGGCCTTCCGAGCCGGCCGAGCCGTTGCTCGTGAGTTTCAAGCGCTCCGAGAGGCGGTCCGTGAGCGGCACGCCGGGCTCGGCACCGGCAATGACGCCAATGATCGGGTGGCCAAAGCCCACGACAGCGCGCAGCACCTTGCTCAATTGCTCGTCCGAGTGGTCACTGCCCACGTTGAAGACTTCGCCGACAAACTTGCGGCGAAAGTTGGCCGAGAGCGTGTCCATCCAGTCCTTCATGGCCTCTTCCGTGTCGCTGTACACCGCGATGCAAGCGTAGCCCCGGTCCATGACCTGCTCCGCCAAGCACATGCCGGTCGAGAACGGGTCGACAACGATGACCGCGTCGACTTGCAGCATCGGCTCTGTCGTCGGCGTGAAGATGGTCATGGCAAGTGGCAGACAAGTGACAAATGGGAAATGACCGAGTGCGGAGGGCGTGTTGTCATCCGGTTAGAACGCGCGGCGCGTCCGGATATTCTCTTGAAATGAGTATGCTCGGCGTGCGACAACGGGCGTGAAACCGTTCCAGGGATCCTAAAATAAAATGATGTAACGCGCATTTTATTGTCGGCGCTGCAACAGCGAGGTCCATAGGTGCCATCGCCCATTTTATTAGAAATGTACAATAAAATATAGCATGCGCGGCCTTCAAGCTCGCTGGCATGTCCTGTCACAATGCATATTCTTGGACAAGCCGTAAGATCGTCATTCAACATCACAGCGTATTCTGATTGGTGATGACCTGTCAAAGATAATACCCGGCCTCTCAGCATAAGATCACAACGATGCCCGCCCACGTTGAAGACTGTGCCCACGTACAGTTGTACGGAATGTACGGCGGCGTACGGCGGTTTGGCAGATCCGCAACCTTGCGCCACCTTGGTGGTAGTGGTGGTGGTGGTGGGCAGAGCGGGTGGCGGACCAAGAGCCAGCTCGACTCATTTACAATCCCGCAACAATGCATGTGTACGCAGAATTCAGCATTTGCTCGCGATCGACACGTGCGACATGGTCCTATGGAGCCATCGCTCGCCAATCACAAGCGACGAATCAGGCAGGTGTCGATACATCATCACCTTCTGCCCGTCGCTGCCGCCGAGAGATCCGATGTCTTGCGCGTTCACATTCGGTGAATTACGGCTTGCTCTATGGCGCACGTTCGTGCGATCCCAATCAATCAACGACGGCGAGACGGTTTACCCAATCAAGTCGTTTCACAAACAAGCAACAAATCGCTTGCCCTGTAGGTGGACGATTCCACAACCCGACAACGAGCTTGGCCACAAGGTTGCTCAGGGTTTTCGACCCTTGGACTTGCTTTTCGCCACCCACGACCCTTCGACGCACCTCTTCGCGCGCGATGGCGAGAACAACGGTCGATCGAGCTTACAGAACTGTCTGAAATCTTCAAATTGCATTTGGCAACGCTTCTCGTACAAGATAATATGTGGCCGCAAGATTTTATTTCGATGGTTTATAACCACATAGGGTTCCCACTCTTGCTCGACGAACCGTAATTCATCGACGACGTCTGGCTGATCGGGATCGTCTCTTCGGTGACAACCTCGGGCGCAACGACGTCCTCTGGCATCGACGACGACTCGAGGAGCATCATGCGCAGCATGGGCGCGGCCGACATGGGGATCTCGGGCGACGGGATCTTGTCTTCGGAAATGCTGTGGATCGAGTCGCGGTGGGACGAGTACTTGGAGTCGACGCACACAGAGATGGATTGCGTGCTCGAGATCTCGGTGATGTCGTCGCGGAGGCTGCTGAGGTGCTGCGGGCGCACGTACGCTTCGTGAAAGTGAAGGCTGCGGAGGATCACGTCGAGCTCCTCTTCCATGCGGGCGATGCGCACTTCAAGGTCAATGTCGTTTTGGTCCAAACCAAACGGGCACTCGATCTCGCGCGCGAGGTCGTCGCACGAGAAGAGCACAAAGCCCCAGAGAAAGACCCACAAAGGCGTGTACCAGCCCGAGCTCTGGACGATCACAAACGTGTAGAGCACGAGGTACAGCACCATCATGAGCGTCAGAAAGTGCGCATAGTTGAACGGAATCGGAATGTTGGCAATGTTGTAGACCGTCGTGTAGAGCGACACGAGCGTCGAGACGTTGCCGTTGAGCGACGCGGCTTGCGGCGGCGCAAACCACCCGCGCCGACCGCCGGCTTGGATCACGCGGCGAATCTACGACCGTAACATCAAGACCTTGCAAATGGTAGAGACATGGACGTACCCACACTTCGACGATCGTTGCACGGAGCTTGTGCGGGTTGGCCTGCGCGACCGTGGTATAGTGCGTCGTCGGATCGTCATTTTGGCGGGTGATGACGCCGCAGCGTCGCATTTCATCGGCCTCCGAGTCACGGAGGAGGTTGCACGCAATGAACGGCTGAATGTCGTTTTGCACAAAACCGCGGGCGTCTTGGACCAAGATCGAGACGTACAAGCACACGAGGCGGCGCATCTCAGACATAAAGTGCAGTTTGTCTTCGCCCGCGACGCAAAAGTCGAGCATCGACGCGGTCGACGCGACGATCCTACAACTCGATGTGTCAGACACTGGGAGATGGAGCGAATGAAGAAGTACCCGCGTGCCGCTTCAGCAACCGACGCGATCGCAACGACGCCGGCGCGCCACTGGTTGAAGGCCGAGTTGAGCCGGAACGAGATCATGAGACCGATAAAGACGTTGAAGACGGTGAGCGTGTCGATGAAGGCGAGACTTGTCTTGGTCTGCGTCGTCAGAATGTCGTAGAGGTAGTTGCCGGTGGTGATGACCGTCGCGACGAGCGCCATGACGACGGCCCGCGTCGGGCCGTGGCCTCGGAACGCCGAGCCTTGGAGCCGCGCGAGGAGCCGGAAGAAGTCGTCCTGGTTGTAGTAGATCATCGGCGCCGGTCAATTGCGTTCTAACGAGCTCCCAATCATAACCACACGTGGCTCTCTGCCATGTAGAGGCGAGGAGATACACAGCTAGCTTGGCTGCAGATGGTGACGCGGTTCATGCATTTTCTCGTATCGTCTCCATCGCACTCAACCTCCGAGACGGGGCCGACAAGCCGATGGCTCATACTGCGCTAGTGCACGCATATATACCTCGCTGTACGAAGCTGCTTCATGGACTGTAGCCATATACCCGACATGAAGCATCTCAAGGCGGAGTGGGCATAGCACGTGTATCAGTCAGTGCCTGTCCCACCTGTATGCACAGCCTAGGAGCCGCCGCAGAAATATTCACCGCATCTCGCACGGCAATAGAGTAGGAGACGGCGTCGCCTTGAAGGAGGAGTCGGGTGCATCTTGTCTCTGGTGCACTCGAGTTGGACTTGTTCCAGCCTTCTTTATCCGCTCCGAACGCTCCTGTGCTTTGGTGAAGGGACAAGCTATGTTGCTTAAGGCAGCTGAAGCTGCGGGCCACATAGCCTTCCGCAGGTCAAGTTGATGGCAACATGGGCACAGAAATGACGTTTTTAAAGTTAACAGCAAATAGATAGGTTGTCGAAATTAGACGGACGCTGCCTTGTGCAAGTTCTGCGCCACGTCGCTCCAGCGCTGGAGGGTGTCCATGGCCTTGCCGGAGGCAAGCGTCTTCTTGGCCATTTCGTACCCTTCTTTGATCGAGCTCGCAAGGCCGTAGACGTATAGGCCGGCGCCCGCGTTGTACGCGATGGTGTGTCCGACCGGGTTGTCGCAGTTGCCGCGGAAGACGTCTTTGAGGATGCGAGCGTTCAGGTCGCAGTCGCCGCCCTCGAGGTCCTTGAGCGTGCAGCGCGGAATCCCGAGCTCCTCTGGCGTCAGGGTGTAACGCGTGCAGCCTTTCGTCCGCGAGACCTCGACCACGTCCGCGTTGCCGATCGGGTTGAGTTCGTCCAAGCCCGCGCAGTGCACGACGAGAGCGTGCTCAACCCCCAGTCCATACAGCACCTCGCCAAAGAGCGGCAGTAGCGACGGCGTGTAGACCCCAATGACGGCGTGCTTGCAGCTCGCGGGGTTGATGAGTGGCCCGAGGACGTTGAAGATCGTGCGAATGCCCATGGCGCGTCGGACAGGCATCACGTGCTTCATCGCAGGATGGAAATGCGGCGCGTACATGAAGGCAATCTTGGCGTCCTTGATGCACGGCGCAATGTGCTCTGGCTGCAACATGGGCACGCCAAGCGCCTCGAGGACGTCCGCAGACCCCGACTTGCTAGACGCCGACCGGTTGCCATGCTTGGCTACGTTGGCGCCACACGCTGCGGCGAGGACCGCGGCAGCTGTCGAGAGGTTGACCGTGTTGGCGCCGTCACCGCCCGTGCCCACAATGTCGAGCGCCTTGGTCGTTGCCTGGGCACACATCCATCAGCACCACTCTTTTCGCATGGATCCTAGCCTACCGGCAAGTCGACGCGGTGGCAGTGGCGCAGCATGACCTTGACGAGCGCCTGCGTCTCGAGCGGCGTCTCGCCCTTGGCGCGCAGGAGCGCGAGGAAGACGGCGATCTGGGTCGCATCGGCCTTGCCGGTCGCGATGCTGTCCATGGCGCGGTCCATCTCGTCGGCCGAGAGGTGCTGGCCCATCGCGAGCTTCTCCAGGACGGTCTTCATGCGGTCGGCGAGATTGAGGTATGGTCATGGAAGCGTCGCGGGACTTGGCCGCGGAACCGTTTTTGTATTGCACAATCTTGTTGCTAGGAGTTTCCTCGGCATTTGATTGGCTCGCTACGTGCCAAAAGAACGTTATGCATGGCGCGATCCCAGGACGCTTTTGGATTGGCTAAAAAGATGGCCTTTTCATGCTTTTCAAGGCAACAACGTGTGATGATTGGCTGAAATGGCAAAAAGTGATTGCGCCATCGCAAGATCGCTACATTTTCGTGCGCGACAGGCCAAGTTGGCAGACAGGCGGCGAGGCCACTTGGTGTTCACGCGTGGCGACACCGGCGGCTACTTGCACCGAGTTGTAGTAGAACCTAGTGCCCACGCAATATGGGACTTGTAGCATTACTACGGGAGACCCCAGGGAATTCCGAGGATACCCAAAATCAAGCTGCCTTTTTCTATTTGTGATGGGACTATAGTTTTTGAATGTCGAGTCGCTGGAGATCGCGCAGGTAGGCTTCGGGAACACCTTGTTTTTGCAGTTTCTGGAGTGCGTCCTGTCGGATCTTGTCGACGACGATGAGCTCCTTGGCCATCTTCTTGACGTTTTGCGCGTTGGCGTTCGTCTCAAGCGCCGCCTTGTTCTTGCGCCGCGTCGCATTGTCGTCAAACTGCTGGTTGAGTCGAAGGAGGTACTGTGCATGGGCTTCGTCCCGCTGCTCCTTCTCCAATCGCTTCTTGGCATCTTCCTACGACATCAAATTAAATAGCTTCGCGAAGCAACGACCCAAATACCCGCTCGAGAATACGTTTGCCGACGTCGTTCGTTCGCTTCTCTTGCTGCTCAATGTACCTTTGCTCGTCTCGTTTCCGGGCCTCCTGCTCCTTGCGCTCGCGGTCGATCGTCTCGGCGAGCTCGCGCTTGAGGCGCTTCTCGTCGGCCTCCTTTTGCCGCATAGCTTTCTCGTTGGCCTCGAAAGCCTTCTTGGCCTTGAACTCGTCCTGCGCGAGTTGCTTGTCTTGGGCTTTTTCCTGCTGGGCACGGAGCTTGGCGGTGCGTAGTTCCTGGGACTTGCGGATCGCTGCCTTCTCGTTGAGCAACCGCTCCTCTTCGCGGGCCTTGTCGCGGAGGTACTTGGCCGCGACTTGCTCTTCGTGTCGCTACCGAGCAGAAGCTGTCGAGTCATGCTTGGCTTGTATAGAACGTACTTCTTGCGCGATCGCATCGGCCTTCATTTGCTTGATCTCTTCGTTCGTGACGGCGATCTGCTGCAACGTGTGCTGGACTTGGACCTGCAACGGACGTTGAGCTGCTGCGTCATTGGCGAGCAATAGAGATTACGCGATGGGCGGCGACTTTGGCCTGCTCTTCGACTTCGTATTGTTTGTACACTTGTAGAATCTTCTTGGCCTCGATCGCCTTGGCTTCCTCCTCTCGGATCTGCTGCTTTTGGTGCTCGAGGATTTGGCCTGGTCGCTGTTCATGAGGCCATGCAATAATACACACGCCAATGTACCTTCCAGCATCTTTCGCGCAGCGACGCGCTTCTCCCGGGCCACTTTTTCGGCTTCGTCGCGGGCGAGCAGGTCCCGCGTGCGGTCGGCGTCCATGAGGCGGTCGAGGCGCTGGTTGTACGCGGCCTCGTGCTGCCGCGTCTCGGCTTGCTCGCGGAGCTGTCCGTCGCAGCCTGTGGCAGCGCTCGCTTTGGCGACAAGCGACTGAATGTACTTGACCGAGTCCAAATGGGCGTGGCGCTGCAGGTCGTCTTTCGTCAGAAGCGAGTGGCGCTCGGCCTCGAGCTCCATCTGCGTCGCGTACTGCTCGCGGCGCGTGCGCACTTGGAGCTCTTTCTCGACCATGCGGTTCTTGCGCTCCTGCGCGCTCGCCCGCGACGCCATCTTGGCCTGCTCGTTGGCCTTGAGGCGCAGCGCCATGTCGCGGTCCGTGACGATGGCCGACTGCTGCCGGATGCGCTCGAGGTCGTTCGCGTGCACAACCGTCGTCGACACGATCTCCTTGCCCGCGAGGCCCATGTTGCTCACGCGGCCCCCGACCATGGCGGCGAGGTGTATTTCGGGATACAAGCCAAAAGCCCGTTGCCAAATGTGCTATATATAGCTGCCACGTTGCGCCAATCAGAACGCGCAAATCCTGCCTCCTGCATCATCCGCCAGAAGACGACCACACGCAGCAATCAGAAATGAGCTGCAGGACCTTCCTGCTGCATCGTCCTCACATCTCCAGCTGCGCTGTAGCCGAAGCAGATGCTGGTCATGTCATCCAAAAGCCTGATCAGAGCTGCCACCTTGTTGAAGCTTTGACGACGAACGACAAGGAACACTACAGTCGTGCAGTCAGATTGTGCACAACGAAATAAGAACGGAGAACTAGGCGCCAATATATATATTCAATAAATAACAAAACCAAAACCACGCGCATACAAGGCCCCGGGGCAGGGCGAAAATGGCAGCCTAAAGGCAAGGCGACTAGTCGCCGCTCGACATCGAGTACTTGGCGTGCCCGTCGTAGAACTGCTGCTGCTGGTCGTGCGGCGACCCGCCGTGCTGGTCGTGCTCGTCGTCGTCCCGGTAGTAGTTGTTGCTCCCATGGTGGTTGACATTGCTGTTGCTGTTGTTGTACGCGGACGGGTACACCTCCCAGGACCCGTGCTGCGACTGCGACGGCTCACTCGTGTCTTGGCGGTAGTGCAGCGACGGTACGGCCGACTCGGACGCACTGCGAAAGGCCCGCCCGGCGCGGAGGTACCCGGCAGCGTCCGACTTGGCACTCGGGCGGCCGTCGTCGTTGGGCTGGCGCCCGTTCTTGGTCACGATCGTGTCAATGTTGCTCAGGAGCCAGTCGACCCACTGGTCGTTGCCGCGCGTCGGTGGGTACGACGCCGGCGCGGGCGACGCAGACGTACGCGGCCCTAGACTCATGTTGGAGAAAGCGCGGCTCGACTCGGTCGTCGGCGTCGCAATCGAAGACGCCAGGTGAGCGTTCGTCGACGGCGGGATCGAGATGCTTGGAAAGAGGTTGGACGGAAAGGCGCTCGGGGGCGACGCGTGGTGGCCCGTCGACGACTGCTGCGGCGCCTGGTTGTACGACCGACTCATATGATGCTCGGTGATGTTGCTCAGCGGCGTGAGGGACCGTCCCGAGTTGGACGCTTCGTACGTGCCAGGGTCCGAGAGGCGGCCAGTGGCGTTGGCAGAAGCGTACGACGGCTCTTCTTTCGTCTTGAGCCCCGAGTAGGACACGCCGGTGGGCTTGACCTTGCTCGTCTTGGTCGACTTGACCTCATCGCCGTTCGGGAGGTAGTTCTCGTCGTCGTTCATGGCCTTGAGCTCGTCCTGCTTTTGGAGCTTCCGGAAAAACTTTTGCGCATGCGTCCGCGTCTGGAGCACGGTCCGGGTGCCCACGGCCTTGGAGATCTTGCGCCATCGGTTCAGGACGCCGTGCGGGAACGCGCCAAGGCCTTGGACGAACCGGTTGTGCTCTTCGATAGACCACCGCCCCGAGTTGAAAAGGATGCTCGACGGTAGGTTCTTGGAGCGCAGGTGCTTTTGCGTGTCATTGTTGCCGACCTCGGGGATCGACGTCGAGTTCATGATACCGTTGGCGACCTCGTCGTGGCCGCGGAACGGCGACATGCCATTGGTCGGGCTAATGTTGGGGTGGCCCGACCGCGACGACGTCGGGGTGTACGCTATCGCAAAGTCCGGCGTCGACGACGTCTGCTTGGTCTCCTTGCGGTAGATCGTCGGCGCAAACGACTCAGTCGGGTAGCTGCTACTCCGTTGGAGGCGCGTCGCGTCCACCTTGGTCGGGTACATCCAGTTCTTATCGTCCGGGCGGTCGCCGTGGTAGCTCTCGACGCGGTCGCGCGCGTACCCGTAGTAGCTCTCGCCCTCGTCGTCGTGGCCGCGCGTGTCGATCGCGTGGAGGCCGTGGGCGAACTGGCCGCCGAGGAAGCCGCGCAGCGACGACTCTTCTCGCGAGTCGAGCTCCATGTCCATCTTGCGTCGTCTACTTGGGAGGATACTGCTTCAAGGAACGACGCCCGCTCCTAATGATGATCTACCGCGGAGGATGCCAATTGCAGAGTGCCACTTTGGAAACCAAATGACAGCGTTCGAATGCATTTTATTTTCACCCGATTTTTATTCACAAGCGAACGCAATTACAAAACGACTATCCATGCGCGCCGTTGTTGAAGCGCGCAGCTCGCATTTGGTATTTGTATGAGCGCGCACCACCCGGCGGGTATTTTTTTTTCTCAAGAGATCGCGATCTTGCGTTAAAAACACTATAAAAATAAATACCGCACCGAACGGACCCAAGAGTTGAATGTGAAAAATCCGACCGCTTCTGAGTTTGGCGTCGGACCTGCCTGCGCTTGGCACCTTGGCGTCCATACAAAGAGCAAGTGTTATCGACCATTGAGAGGCGTCTCGGGCGCGAGCCAAGTCGCACCCAAGATGAAGATGAGGACGATGACGTCGTCCCACGCGAATCTCAACAACCTGTTGACTGGAAACCCCCCGGTTGCCTTTTCGAAAAACATGGGCATATCGCACAAGTAGCCGCGAATACTCGATCGTTGAGAGACAAGAAGAAGAAGGGACTGGTGTGTGATGCGGCGGCCGGACGAGGCAGACGCGGCGGGAGGCAAAGACACGAAGGCCACGTTCACCGGCGCCGAATCAGGGTGGGTCGTCGCAGCTGGCGAGAACCAAGGCCTTCGAATTTCTCGAGCATACTCAAGCTCAAGTTGGCCGTGAGGTGAAAATTAGCTGCCGCCAGCTGGCCGTAGACGCACCTGCGCCGCCACCTGGTCGCGAAATTACTGGGTGCCAAGTGGATTGCCGTGGTAAGAAGGTCGCTCCTGGCCACACGTTGAGGCGATCTCGGCCTCGATGGCCTCCCGCCGTCGCCGCCCGCGCTGTGAGTACCGCGCAGACGCTCGTTTTGGCTGTTGTGACGCCGTTGCTCGCGAGTACTGTTAGCTACCCCTGCTGTCGTTTGACGTCAGCAAAAAAAGTATCATCTCCGTGTCGTCACGTGAGCAACTTCAGCACCGAGATGCGGGACCGCGCGTCCGCTTGACGTGGACTTCGCACCCACACCGCAACGCTTACACCTCAACGCATACCGCCAGCTCCTACAAATACCGCCAGTGCGGCCGTCGCACGGTGTCCAGCAGCAGGCTGGCGCCATGCGCCCGCCACGCATCGCTGTGCGATCATTCCAGCGCCCTCAACTGCGCGCGTCGTACTGTACAACCTGCAACCTATTTCTCGCTGGGAGGATTTCGACGCGGTGGACAGTAAGAGAGAGCAAGCGTCGGGAGCACTAGTCGTTGACACTGTATCGAATGGTCGGGGCGACGACGACGAGACTCTCATCGATCATAGTTAGTACATACGCATGGTCTATACTCGCCGGCGAGGGACCCTAATCGCGACTTACTTGACGCCGAACGCGGCTGAAGATCCTACCTCTGAGAACGCATATTCAGAGTATGCAGAGACGCAGGTTTCGGAATTTCATTTCTGATCCGCATGAATTGGCTCGAGCGAGGCTGCGTCCGAGTAGCCCCGGCCTTCCAGCGCCCGGCCGCCAAGAGTTGCCTCGTGAGCAGCATGCTGCGCCAGGGCCACCTGTCACATGCGGCGTCCGTGCACCTCCTCGGTGCGCAGCAGTCGACCGCCACGCCGCTCCTCGAGGTATACCGACCTGGCAATGAGGATCCTAGTGTAGATGCGACCGGAGTGTAGGAGCTCTCGGCCACGGAGCGCAAGAACCACGCTGTGCTGGAAGAATTTACCAAGAACTCGTCGGCGTACCGCTTCCGCCCGAGCCTCTTGCAGCCGTTCGCGGCCGTTGCGAGCGCGACCTTTGGCACCGTCCTACGCACGCTCTCGCCCACAACAAGCCAGTCGTACGCGGCCGGCGTCAAGCTCGCGATCGCCGACTACTACAACGACCAGATCCGCGAGATCTACGCCGAGCTCGACAACGCGCCCGAGGCAGCGCCGCTCAAAGAGGTATGCATCAACACTGCATCCCCGCTGGTCCCTCATGCTCGCGTAGCTCTTCAAGTCGCTGCGGGACGCCGAGCTCGACGACATTGAGCGGATCTTTCCCTCCATCGAGGTATGCCATGTTTCTCGACGCTCATCTCCTATGCTTCTTGACAGGACGCCAAGGCCGACCAGACCGTGCAGTACGCGCGCCAGGCGACCATGCTCGTGCTGAGCCCATCGCAGACATTGTAAAGTCCCAAGATGAAAAATCAAGATGGCATGAGGTTATGTAATGGCAAGACTTAGCCCCAAAAGTTGGTGTGCGGCGTCTCAATGTACACCCAGAGGCAGATGATCGAGAGGACAATCGCGAGGCCAAACGAGCCGACCACGTTGCCTTGGTCCGTCAGACTCTTGTGGCTCCAGCCAAAGTACGTCTGGAGCGACATGCGCACCATCGGGCCGAGCTGGCTCGCCGTGAAGATGCCGAGGAAGAGCGAGCCAAACACAAGCGGCGTGCCGTGCGTCGTCTCGGCGTTGTTGTAGCCGACAAAGAAGCGGACGACGCTCCAGATCACGCCAAAGACGATCGCAAAGAACACAAAGACGTTGGGAAGCTCCATCGTCGAGTTGCCGCCGAGCGCGCCCGTGTTGGCCCACGCCGCCTCCTTGTCCGTGATCTTCCAGTAGATCGCGTCAAAGACAGCGACGACGTGCACAAACGCGTACGAGAACCACGTCTCTTGGCTGCGCATCACGTCGTTGTTGTCGACCGTCCGGTTCATCATGGCCGAGAGGATCGTCTGGATGACAATCTTGGGCACAAGCGCGACAAGGAGGCGGAGACCCGCCGTGTAGATGGGCGCATTCCCAGAGTACAAGAAATACCCGGTGATGTAAAAGAAGAAGAGCGCCGGGAACGACCCGATCGGATAGATCGTGAGGTTCATGAAGAAGACCCAGCGCATGAAGCGGTTGACCTTGCGGGGTGGCGGCAGCTCGACCGTCGGCGGCGACCACGTCGGGTCCACGAGCGACTTTTTCCGGCGCAAAAAGATCTGGAAGTTGCCCTTGGCCCAGCGCTTGCGCTGCGCCAGACTCGCAGCGACCGTCTCGGGCACTGCGCCTTCGGCCAAGCGAATGCGGTCGCCTTCTTCGCCTTCGAAGTCCTTGCGGAAGTAGAGGCCCTTCCAGCCCTTGTCAATCATGAGCTTGCCCGTGAACGCATCTTCGGTCAGCGACCCGTACGCAATGCCCGAGACCGAGTCGAGCGCCGACCGGCGAAAGATCGCGTTCGTCCCGGCAAACGACGCACACTCGTAGCCGTCCATGCCCGTCTGCGCCGAATCAAAGAACGTCGAGTTCCGGTGGCCGCACGGGTCGCCGAGGCGGAGCTGGAGGCAGTCTTCAAAGTACTGGGGCGTCTGCACGTAGCCGACTTGGTTCTTCCGCACGTCGTCCGAGTAGTGGTCGTCCATCGCGAGCATCACTTGGTTGTTCTGGACCGTGCCAATCGAGCTGCGCCGGCCATAGTTGTTGTGGCAGCTCTTGCACTCGCCCGTCTTTTGGTTGACCGTCCCGCCGCAGCCCGAGCACTGCGTGCGCTTCGCGCGGCTCGACCGCGTCTGGCGGCGGTGGATGTCCGACTTGGCATGGTTGGCCGCGTCAAAGCACTCCTTCGAGCAGTAGCTAATGTTGGCTTCGGGCACGCCGGCCTGGACGCACAGCGTGCACGAGATCTTGGCAATGTCCGAGCAGCCCGGCGCCGAGCAGCGAAAGGTCTTGGTCGACGACGGCGAGTCGAAAAAGAAGGGCAGCGTCGCTTGCACGAACATCGGGTGCGGCTTCATGTCGTTGTCGAGGATGATCGCGTACTGGCCCGAGGCCTTTTCGTTGTAGAGCACGTTGTTGATGTTGCCGGCCTTGGAGTGGTGCGTCGGCGGCTTGACGCGACCGACAAACGTCACGCGCGGCAGACCTGCGTACCGGTAGTCGTAGTCGTCGCGCTCCGAGCCGATCGCGCAGTCGACGCGCTCGCACACGCGCGGGTTCTCGGGGGTCGGGAGCTTGACAGTCGTGTGCGACCGGCGCCACTCGTTGACCTCCATCTCGGCCGCACGCGTGTAACCAATGCCTTGGCCGTCGCCGTCGAGGTCGAGCACCTTCTCGTACATAAAGTGGGCGAGCTCGTAGCGCACGTCGCCCGCGTTCTCGATGACGCCCTGGTTGACAATGACGTCGGGGATCGGGTTTCCGGGCGTAAACTTGGTCTTGAACGCGCCGTCGTCGCAAATGTACACGTGGAGCTTCTCGGGCGGGTAGTCGAGCTTCAGGATCGCGTCGAGCGTCGCCATCGTGTCCTCGGCCGGCTCGGCGTAATGACACAGCAGAATGTCGACCGACGGCCACTACATGCATGTGATGATGGTACTGCAAGAGGAAATAGGGATGGGTACCTTGTCCGAGGGAAAAGGCGGGTTGAAGTCCTTGAGGTACTGCGCGCCACGACGCACGGGCTTCCACATCCCGAGGTAGTAGAGCGCGCCGAGCAAGATCGAGATAAACTCGGCAAAGTAGAACATAAAGTACGAGACCCAGTGCGCGAGGACGGGCTCGCGGAAGCACTGCACGTTGGTCATGCCGGCCTGCGTCCAGTACCACTGAGGCGGGTTCCACATGCCATTGAACGGCTTTGGGCCGCAGCTACAGGCCATCATGAGACTCGGAAGAGACAGTCGACAGCGATACGCACACGGGCTGGTTCTCGGCCGAGTAGCGCTTGAAGATGTTGACACACGTGTCGTTGCGGTGGAGAAGATCGCACGGCTCGATGCCAAGCGGGAACCACAAGATGATACCCGCGAGCTCGACGATGGCCGTGATGAGAAACAAAAAGTAGAAGAAGCGGTAACTAGACGCAGCATGAGCTGGCCATCATGGAGAAACGGGAGGTAGTAGTACCTCGTGCGACCCTTCATGACGTATTCGCGCACGTTCGGGAGCTGGCGCACGACGACGTTGCCGCTGCCGGCCGTGATGATAATCATTTCGAGGGCATCGAACCACATGTTGAAGTCGGCGTCCGTCTCTGGGCACAGCAGCCACACGCGGCGCTTGGTGTGGATCTCGATACCCTTGGACGGCAAATCGAGGCGCGAACTCTGCTCGAGCTTGAACGCGCCGCGAAGGTCGACCGTGCCAATGCAGAGCTCGCTCTTGCGCGAGTTGAAGTACTTGCGCGCATCGACCGGCTCGTGGAAGTAGTAGATCTTGTTGCCTTCAAGGCAAAAGAAGCGGCGGCGCCAGCTCTTGGCCACGGGCCCTACATGGCGCAGCATGGGCATGCGACCTACCGCTGGAAGCGCGTACCTTTGAAGGCGCGCGTGCCCTGCTTGTGCATCCAGCCAAAGACCTTGATGCTGTTGTCGTCCGACATCTCGGTCTCGACCTTCCCGGCCGGCGTCGCGTTCATCGCGTACTTGTCGGTGGCCATTCCGTGCTCGGCGTCGTCAAGTCGCCTCGGCAGCGCAAATCCCGAAATATTAATTTGTGGGCAAGACGGAGGGTGGAATTTTGGCGGCTTCGATTGCGCGCGATTGGTCGCTTTTTAGCCAATGAAATGAAACCTATACCTGTAACAAATGCTACGAGAGCGCAAATTGAGATATTTTTTTGCCGATCCTCTGATGTGATCGTTTTTTGTATCAGGATTTGTATGGGAGGAGTATCGCACGCATTTAAATACGGTGACCACAGGATCTCATTTTTTAAATTCCGAGAAAGTGCGGCCCGACCGGCTGGCGCCGAGCGGACCTGGCGACGACGGCGAAGTGGCCACGCTTCGATCGATGGACCGGACGTGTCGACGGCGCTTCGGACGGGACGCGGGCGCTGGAACTGGAATTAAAGTGCAGTCGGTCGGATCAACCAAGCTTCCTTGATGACTGTGGTCGTGGTAGCGTCCACCGGTCCATCTGGGCTCACCATTGATTGCCATACGACGATGCGGTTGGATGGTGTGAGGCTGCTTTCAAAAGGAGCTGGTCGTGTTGGTGTTGAAAGAGCCTCGCCATGTCAAGCGGCGACGACACAATGAGCGCGTATCTGCGCTGGCGTTGCAGGATCGAGGACGTGGAAGCCAACAGAACGGCTGCATCGAACGTTACTGCCCGCGCAGTCGCATACACAACCCCGCCTCGGTCGTCGGAAGCATGAGGCGATGCCTGCAAGCAATGTGACGGGCTTCGACTAGCTCTTGTCCGCAGGCGACGCCGAGGAGGGCTACAGTGCTACGTTCGGTAGAGCGAAAGCATCGCAAGCGTCGCTGAACGAGCCACGTGCTGCTCTTGTGTCCATGTGGGCCGTGTGCCGGTCGAGGGTGCGCGGTCAAATATCCTCCGCAAAAACATTCACCTTATTATTACGACACGACGAGGCGCTGGTTCGTAGCAGCGCCAAGGTTGCACGGACAGCGAAATATTACGCTTGAATGTACGAGGTGATTGATTAGGCCGCTATTTTACCTTTGAATGCCGAGGAGCTGACGTACAACGCTTCTGGGTGTGGGGGCTGCCACGTGTAATGGCGGCGATTGGCAGAATCTCAACGTTATCCGGCTGTCCGGAAACGGTGCCACTTGGCAACGATGGCTCTGCTGACGACGGAGCAGGAAGCGCTCCTTGCGAGCTTGGAGCGCGTGTGGCAACAGCACCTTGGGGCGACGTCTGCGAAAGATGCAACGACAGCGTTTTCCAAGGCGCCCATGAGCCTCAAGAACTACTACGCATCGCACGTGTCGACTGCGTCGGCGACGGCACCGCTGCTGCCACCGGCTGTCGACGCCTTCCACCAGCGCGCGGTGGCGTGCGTGAACGCAAGCAACGCAGTGGTCGAGCATACGCAGGCGTCTTTGGGCTTGCTCCAGGAGATGGAAGATCGCCATGCGTCGGTTGTTGCGCTCACCGGCGCCCTCTACGAAAGCTTTGAGACACTCCTCCACGAGCTCGATGCACTCGAGGGGAAGCTCAAGGCCATGTCGACGCCGCTGCCGTACTTTACGCGCATCTCGTCGCTTGCCAAAAGCCTCGGAAGCCACATTGACTTTTCGTCCAAGCCCGACGCGTCCGTGCATGTACACGTGCGGCCCTACACGTTTGGCACGATCGACCCGACTGCTCCTGCGTTCACCGAGGCCATTCGCGTCATCGACGAGTGTACGGGGTACCTCCAGGAGCACGTACGCACAATATGCGCTATCGATGGGAATCTCATGCAAGCTATGAGTAGATGGAATTCAAGGACACCGAGATGTACCTTGCCGCATACAACCAGCTCCTTTTGCATGCGTCGCACTGCCTCAAGGACTATGCGATCGCCGCCCTCGAGTCGGCCAAGGATCATGTGGCCGCAGCCAACTCCAAGCGGGTACATCTCGAGGTCCCTCTCGCTCTCATTGTTCTGCTCGTAGACGGTGCACGCCGATATTCTGGACCCGGCCTCGACGTACTACGCCCAGTTCCAGGTTGCTGCGCCCGCATGCCAAGCGATTGCCAAGCATTTGGAGCAGCGAACCGTCACACCAGGGTCCGATTTTGAATTTTGCGGTATTTTTCTCATATTTTATGTAGCTCAGAGCAGTTTATGCTGGACGTGCTCGATGCGTATGTGGGCCAGCGCGTCGCGTTGCTTCTACCTGCAGTCACAACGCACCTCCATGCGCTCGACGGGTCGACATCGGACCTCGTCCACGTGGTACACACCGATTTTTGCCTTTTTGAAAGTTGATACATTGATACTAGCTGCGCGTGGGCTGCCAATTCCTCGTGCGCATGTGTCAAGCCGAGCACACTTTGTTCACAAATATGTTTGGCGCGCCGCCAAGCGCGTCCATCTTTGCCTCGACGCCACTCTACGAGGACGACGACGACGACGACGTGGCCGCCGACGAGCTCGATGGCAATGCATTCCAGTATCGAGTTGGTTTCTTGTCAACCTTGTCTCAGCGTCGGTCGTAGGCGCCTCGTGCTGCAACTGTGCTACCCTCTGTACCAGTGCATTCGCCCGCGCATGATCCACGAGCAAGACCTGGAAATTCTCTGCGAGTCGATCGAAGTGCTTCGCAGCGAAATCATGGAAGCGCAGATTCGTCCGCGAGGTTCTCGCTCCTCCTTAGCCGCGCGATCTTGAGAGCGATACTAGGCGTTGCCACCGAGGTCCTCGAGGCGGCGATCGAGCGCATGGTCGGGGATGCGCAGGAGCGCCTTATACTCTGCACGCAAAAGTTCATTCGTGACGAGATCGAGGGCTTTTACCCGTCGCCATCCGACCTCGACTACCCCGCCAAGCTCCAAGGTACTTGTATCGTTTCCGAGAGAATCGACCGCATGTCCAAGCGTAGCGACGTCCGTGTATGCAACGTGGTACCCGACGCTCGAGCACACGCTCATGTGTCTCTCCAAGGTGTACCGCTACCTCCACGTACAACTACTTGTCTCGGACTTGAATGGGGACAGAGGTTGTGCGTAGATGCATATCTTTACCGAGCTCGCGCAAGACGCTGTTTCGATCTGCACCGCGTCGCTGAAAATGGCGGCCGCCGACCTCACAGCGCAAAAGGTCTTGCATTTTTGAGAAACCTCATTGTGACCGACATGTAGGGCCCGTGCGACGGCGGGCTCTTCCTCGTCAAGCACCTCTTGACGCTGCGCGAGCGCATCACGCCGTTCGACATTCAGTTCTCAATCACCGAGAAGAGTCTGGACTTTACTTCGACGACCGGTACGCCCGAATCTGAAAATGTGGTCTGGAGGTGCACATGCAGATGCGATGGGCAATGTGCTCTCGGACGCCTTTTCGCTCTCGCTCGACAACTCGGTGCTGGGGCTGCTCACGCACGGCATTCCTCACGTCAACACGACCACCTCCGATGTGAAAAAGGTGCGATGGCATAAAGCACAAGGTGAAGATAGATTTCGTAGGACCTCGAGCACGAACTCAAAAAGGCGTGCACGACCTTTATTGAGTTTGGCCTGCTGATGGCCGCACGGCCGCTCTCGACCCTCTTGCGCAAGGTAAAAGGATGACGTGTCAACGAGTTGGTGCGATGCTGGTGTAGGCGCAAGTCGCCAAAGCGCTACCGCCGCTCCGTAGGCTTGCCGAATGCCGCTGTAGAAATCTTGCTCATCGACTATTGTAGCGGTGGTTGCAGCGGCGCTTGTGGAGCTGGAGCAGACCATGCAGACACACATCCCCAAGCTCCGAGACGCGATTCACACGTACCTCATGCACCCGTCGACCGAAGCCATTCTCTTCCAGCCGATCCAAGTACCTTGCCTCTCTCTGTCTTCGTCATGACGAACGATCAAGTAGAAGGGACTCTTGGAGGCCATTGAGCAGCTCAAGATGCAGCTGGAGCAGCAGTACCCGAACCTCGACGCGCGTGCTGACGTTGACGCGCGCGTGCAAGTCGCGCTCTCGTGTGTGCTGCAGCTGTAACTGCGTTCAGTTTGAGAGGACGTGATGTGCATAACCCAAACGTCCCTTGCATTCGCCTCGTATAGACAATACTTGCATCGTATGTCGCACGCCTCGCCGTGAAAACGCAAAATATTGGGGAATCTTGAGTAGGGCTAGGGTGCATGGCCGACG